AGCTGTTGCAAGAAGATTGCACAGACTGACTACAAGCAGCGGCATGACAAAGTAGCAACAATGGTGCATTGGAAGATTTGCAAAAAATATCATTTGCCTGTAAGCAAAAACTGGTGGGATCATAAAATAGAGAAAGTCATAGAAAATGATAAAATTAAACTGCTCTGGGACTTCAGAATTCAAACAGACAAGCACCTGCAACATAACACCCCAGACTTAACAATTGTCGATAAGAAAGACAAAAAAGTCTGGATAGTGGATGTGGCAGTGCCTGGAGACAGCAGAATAGAAGAGAAAGAACTGGAGAAGATAACAAAATACAAAGACCTACAAATAGAAATAGAAAGACTGTGGCAAAAGCAAGCAAGGGTAGTACCAATAGTATAGGCTCCTTGGGTGCAATCCCAAAACAACTGGAGCACCACTTGAACACCATTGGCATTGACAAATTCGCTATTAGTCAATTGCAAAAGGCGGCCTTACTAGGAACTGCTTCCATCCTGCGACGATATCTGTAATACCATCAAACATCCACATCTGCCTATCCCAGGTCCTGGGTAAGGACTCGATAGGTAGACAAAATGCCAAATCCAGTCTGAACATCTGGCTGACTGTGCGATGATCCTAATAATAATAATATAGTAATAATAGGAAGAAGAAGAAGAAGAAGAAAAGAAAGAAGAAGAAGAAGAGAAGAAGAAAGAAAAGAAGAGAAGAAGAAAGAGAAGAAGAAGAAGAAGAAGAAGAAGAAGAAGAAGAAAAGAGAAGAAGAGAAGAAGAAGAAGAAGAAGAAACGAAAGAAGAAGAAGAAGAAGAAGAAAAGTATTAGTATAGTAAGAAGAGTTGTTTGGAAGGGACCTGGAGGTAATCTAGTCCAACCCCCTGCTCAGGCAGGAAACCCTATACCATTTCAGACAAATGGCTGTCCAGTCTCTTCTTAAAAACTTCCAGTGTTGGAGCATTCACCGCTTCTGGAGGCAGGTTGTTCCACTGGTTAATTGTTCTAACTGTCAGGAAGTTTCTCCTTAGTTCTAGGTTGCTTCTCTCCTTGATTAGTTTCCATCTGTTGCTTCTTGTCCTGCCTTCAGGCGCTTTGGAAAATAGCTTGACTCCCTCTTCTTTGTGGCAGCCCCTGAGATATTGGAATATTGCTATCATGTCCCCCCTTGTCCTTCTCTTCATTAAACTAGAATACCCAATTCCAGCAGCCTTTCCTTATATGCTTTAGCCTCCAGTCCCCTAATCATCTTTGTTGCTCTTCTTTGTACTCTTTCTAGAGTCTCAACATCTTTTTTACATCGTGGTGACCAAAACTGGATGCAGTATTCCAAGTTTTGGAATACCAAGGCATTGTAAAGTGGTATTAATACTTCACATGATCTTGATTCTATCCCTCTGTTAATGCAGCCCAGCACTGCATTGGCCTTTTTGGCAGCTGCAGCACACTGCTGGCTCATATTTAAGTGATTGTCCACTAGGACTCCGAGGTCCCTCTCACAGTTACTACAATTGAGCAAGGTACCCCCTATACTATACCCGTACATTTGGTTTTTCTTGCCTAAATGTAGAATCTTACTTTTTTCACCATTGAATTTCATTTTGTTAGATAGCGCCCAGTGTTCAAGTCTGTCCAGATCCTCCTGTATCCTAAGCCTGTCTTCTGGAGTGTTGGCTATTCCTGCCAGCTTGGTGTTGTCTGCAAATTTGATGAGTTCCCCATCTATCCCCTTGTCCAAATTGTTGATGAAGATGTTGAAGAACACTGGGCCCAGAACAGAGCCCTGGGGCACACCACTACACACTTCCCTCCATGTAGATGTGGTTCCATTGAGGACCACACACTGAGCCAGCTACGGATCCATCTGGTGGTGATGCTGTCTAACCCACATTTTTATATCTTATCAAGTAGTAGGTTGTGATCTACTTTATCAAATGCCTTACTGAAGTCCAAGTAAATTATATCTACAACATTCCTCTGATCCACTAATTTTGTCACTTCATCAAAGAATGCAATAAGATTTGTCTGGCATGATCTGTTTTTGACAAACCCGTGTTGGCTTTTAGTAATGACTTTGTTTGCCTGTAGGTGTTTGTTGATTCATTGTTTGATTATCTTTTCTAGAATCTTCCCAGGTATCGAGGTCAGGCTGTTAGGTCTGTAATTTCCTGGGTCCATTTTTTTTTTCCTTTTTTGAAGATGGGAACTACATCAGCTCTTTTCCAGTCCTCTGGTAGTTCCCCAGTGCTCCAGGATCTTTGAAAAATATAGTTCAATGGTTCTGAGATCACATCTGCCAGTTCCTTGAGAACCCTGGGGTGCAATCCATCTGGTCCTGGTGATTTGAACTCATCTAGGCTAGACAGGTGCTCACTTACCGTTTTCTTGCCTATCTTAACTTGTGTTTCTATTCTGTTTTTTATGGCACTATTTTTAGTAGGTTGGTCTGCTTTTCCCCTTTGTGTAAAGACAGATGCAAAAAACGAGTTAAATAGTTCTGCTTTCTCCCTGTTGCTTGTCACCTTCTTGCCACTTTCACCCACTAATGGACCAATCATTTCCTTCACTTTTTTTCTTGTTTTTTACATGTTGAAAGAAGCTTTTTTTGTTATTTTTGACTTTGGTTGCAAGCCTTAGTTCATTTTGAGCCTTAGTTTTCCTCACTTCATCTTTGCAGGCTTGGGCTATTTGTTGATATTCTGACTTAGTTATGTGTCCCTCTTTCCACTTTCTATACTTGTCCTTTTTATCTTTCAATTTATCAGAGAGTTCTTTATGCAGCCATGTTGGTTTCTTTTGAGAGCTGTTATTTTTCCTCTTTGTTGGTATTGTGCTGGACTGGGCTTTTATTATCTCACTTTTCAAAATTTTCCAAGCTTCTTGAGTTGTTTTCCCCTTGAGGATTCTCATCCATGGAATCCTTCCCAAGCCCTCTCTAAGTTTATTGAAATTAGCTCTCTTAAAGTCCAAGACTCTAGTTTGACTGGGTTCTATTGCTTGTTCTTCCATAATGTTGAATTCCAATATTGCATGATCACTTTCTCCCGAGGTTCCTGAGAATTAGATCCCAAATGGCTAATCCCCTAGTTCCCTTCTGTAAATGGATAAAGAGGAGAATTGTAATAGTTTGTGATTAGTTAAGACAAAGAACCAAAGGTAATGGGCACTAGATAGATAGGATGCCTTTTAAAACAGGGGTCCCCAACCTGTGGTCGACAGCCCACTACCGGGCCGTGGTCTCTTGGCTACCAGGCCATGTGAATGACTGGCCAGTGTGCGCACATGTGCACTCCTCCCATTCATGCTAGCGCTGTCCTGAGCATTGCGTGAGCACTAGACTTGCTCCCAGCATCACTCAAACACTAGGTCCACCCCCAGCTTCGCATGTGCCCTCACACTGCCCCCATTTGTATGACACATACGTGCACACAGCCCCATGCTTCCCCACTCCTTTCCTTCCGGGCCACCAACCTAGAAAGGTTGGGGACCTCTGTTTTAAAATATATTATTTTAGAGTCATAGAATCATCAGGTTGGAAGAGATCTTAGAAGCCTTCTAGTCAAATCCCCAAAATCTTCCAGAAGCACAGATTAGGAATGTAATGGTGCATTGCCAAAACTCAGCAGACAGGAACAAAAGATACTGCTATGAGGGGCTCCCACTTCTTGGTCTTTTTTCCCCTTGTTACAATAAATCTTGATATATTATTTCAATATAATGATCTTTCTATAATATACTTGAATATTATTGACTTTCTATTCTTTAGATAACAGTAGTGAAAATACAGAAAAAAAGAAGGTATGCAGTCAATATATAAAATTTAGGATATCTACATTACAACTTTATTTAAGTTGAATAAAATATTAAAAAACACTGACTTGCATGACTATTTCTTAATAGGCTTTGATATTCAATTTATTATTTAATATTAAAGTCTTTTTGCAAATGGAGCAAATTTAACAAGAACTAACATACCAATAAAGGTACTCCTCGGCTTATAACAGTTCATTTACTACCATTCAAAGTTACAACAGCATTGAAAAAAGTTATTTATGACCATTTTTCACACAACCGTTGCAGCATCCCCTTAGTCCCATTATCAAAATTCAGATGCTTGGCAACTGACTCATATTTATGACCGTTGCAATGTCCTGAGGTCATGTGATCACCTTTTGTGATTTTCTGACAAGTAAAGTCAACAGGAAGCCAGATTCACTTCACAACCATCTTACTAAGTTAATAACTGCAGTGATTCACTTAACAACTCTGGCAAGAAAGGGGCAAAAGTCATTTAATGACTGTCAAAATGGGGCAAAACTCATTTAATGACTGTCCCATTTAACAGAATTTTAGGCTGAGTTGTCATAAGTCGAGGACTACTTGTAATTAGAAAAAGAGGAAAAAAAGAAAATTTAAAAAAACCAAAAGCTGAGTGAAAGTTTGAAAATTATACGTACACATAAAGTGCAGAGACAAATAACCAAGAAAGATGAAATACGTGTTGCCTAGATTTTAGAGTTGGTATTGGAAAAGCTAAAACTTAGAGAAAATTGACTTTAGTGATGGATACTAACTACACATACACATACACACAAGCTTTTTTAGATTATGTTTGAAAAAGGAGAAGAAAAAATAGTACATCAGCCACTTATTGAAGATGGCAAATGGTAACAAAAAAGAAAATGAAGAATTATTCAATTTCCATTTTGGGTCACTTCTCTGAGAAGAGCATGTAAGCTTACCTAGGCAATTGTGTGAAGGAACAGGATTCTAGCCTGATAGAAACACTGGCAGATAGGAAACACTTATTTCACTTATTTAATAAACATTAGAGAGAGTTCGGACAATTTACGAAGATGTTATGAGAGCAGTGATATTTTAAAAGCAAATCAAAACCGCTCACTTAGGTTTTAAAGCAGTTAATTTATTCTTAGAAGTTAATTTATTAATTTATTCTTATTTCTTTAAAATAAGTAAATATTAAGAAATAAGTATAACTTACTAGGTCTTTTGTAGAATTTCGAACACGGAAGAAAAACACCACCAAGGAAGTGGGGAGAAGTTCCCACACAAACAAGATTATTCCAAATACTACATAGCCAGCATCACCCAACTGGCATTTCAGATCTGCCTGTTGCAAAATTAAAAGGAAAGCTGTTGTAATAGTTAAGTTTTAAGTGTTTGTAAGCAGATAGTGAGATGAAACCTTTTCTGACAAGCAATGTTATGAGATTTCTGCAGCTTCCAAATCTAGATATGTTCCAAATTTTCTTGGCCTAAATAAACTAATATGCATCTATCTGAACTATCAAGACTTATTGTGAGCACATTCTTTCTATCAGAACATTTCAATTAATGGATACTTACTGAATTGTATCAATACTACAACCTGTATTAGAGATATATACTTTAGCAGAAGGATATATTCTGAAAACATGGCTTCAAAATGTTGAACTATATAGCCTGAATCAATCATGGATAAACCGATTTAATTCAGAATCAATCGAATTGGCTAATACATAGGTAATCTGCATGTGAATCACTTGAAAGCATGCCACATTTAAATACATTTTAAAATAGATAACAGGATTAACTCTTTCTGTTACACAATCTCCTTTCTCCTAAACTCTTAGCCCAGAATAGGAAAGATTTTCCCACTGATATATTGTAAAATTTTCATCACAAAGCTAAACTGAATGAAATATAAAATTCTTCTTGGCTAAGGTATCGCTAGCATACAATAGCTCATTAAAACTACAGTAAGCCATTGTGCTTTTCTCAAAGTAAATCAATCTTTTTGCAAAGGGCAAAGTGACTTACATCTTCCCTGGTTTTAACATACTTCAGACTATGATTGTTCATAGTCACATATAAAAGTTTCCTACAGCCCTCCACTGAAGATTCCATTCTCATTTTTATGAAAATGATGCCAGTATAATCAAATTATTTATTCTTGGCATATGTAGTTAAAAGATCTTGAGCTGGTAACTGCAAAGATGTGAGTGGGGGGAGGATGCTTACTTTTACACCATTAAGTATAGGTAGCTAAATGAACATTGTATTGTCAGAAGAAATTGCTATATAGTACTTGCCTGATCAGATACATTGTACCAATCATAATCAAAAGAGTTCATTGCCTTAGTTTGAGAAAATGATAAAATAACCAGGTTGTAACAGGCTCTTGAGGTATACAATAGTATAACAGTTGCTCCTATTGCTGTTAACTGGCATACTGATGATCCCTAGAGAAGATATTAAAACACAGTTGAATGTACTTGTCTACTGATTACAAAAATGTTCAAGGTTCTAGTTGAGAGAAAATTTGTAGCCAAATCTCAAGTCACTTTGGACCAGCCTAAACATTGTGCTTTGTAAATCTGCTGGATTCTGAAAAGTGCTGATACCTTACATTATATTTGCTTGGAAAAGAGAAAGTCATGTTTTTTTTGGGTGGGACAGGATAGAAGGAAAAACAAGAAAAGATTGTCTATTTAATGTTCCACATTGGGGAAAAATATATCACACCATAGTGGAAAAAGAAGTTAACATAATTCATAAAAATGTTTAAGAGCTGCAAATAATTCAGTCCGCTTTTGCTAAAGCAGGAGGAAAGATATGCTGATATTACTTAATCTGCTGGTCAGGAATTACACAAGTTACTATGCATATCTGTTGGACACCTGGAAAATGTTCAGCATCTTTTTTTAAATGTAATTTATAAAATACAACAAATGCAAGAAGGGTTATTTTGTTACAAATGATTACACTGTCCAACAAGTAACCATAACAGTTGCAAAATCCTGTTCATAAAACAGTTGCAGTGGCAGTAAAACTACTAACAAGGCATAAATTAGAGAGTAACAGAATAACAGAATACTACAATACGAAGGATAGGAAGATAATTTAACTAAAGGGAAAATTCCTTAATTAAAGACAATTAGCTTCTATATCATTCCTAGAGAAAACCAACAAAAGCTCTCTAAAATAAAAAGTCCCAAGTTTGAGAATTTTTTGGGAAAAAAAACTTTTTTTCTCTATCTTTATAGAATCATTTGGAAAGAATCAAATATCAAGAGATAAACAATAGCGCTCTCAGTGTTAAAAGAGAAAGACCAGGACTTCAGTCTGCTTAATTGGTTCTAAAGCTTCTTTTGTCCACTTATTTCTTCATTAAATCTTCAGTGATGGAAATGAGAAAGATAATACAGTCTTTGGTTAGCTGCTGAGAAGTGACAGATGGAAGTTCATTATTGTTCCCAGTCTTAGACTGTGGTCCTCCAGTTATCTGATTGGCCACTGTCAGATAGAGGATGTTGAAAATGCCAGATCATGACATCTGAAATACCAGTATATGCTGCCCACTAACAAAATAGCTGAAAAGCTGAGACATACTCACATCCATAAAATCTCTGCATTCTAGATTTGGGGCATTCTGAATGTTTAAAACATTTTTAACATGAAAACTTTTCTATCTTTTGCTTCTATAATATAACAAAAAAATAAAATGATAATGCCACAAACTTTAAAAGATTGCTGACTTCTGAACTAAGTCTTTGGAATGATTTGGTCTGATTCTTTTTATTTTTGATTGATTTATTTATTATGCCAGACAAATTGGTGATTTTTTTTAAAAAGCAAATATTATACAATTGGTATGAAAAATGCAGTTTGTCAGTATTGGACAAAATGGACTTTATAATTCAAGGAATAAGTTTCCTGATTACTATTCATGCTGTTTCAGCAAAACAATCTAAGCAAAACATATTCTCAAGAAAGTATCCACAGGAAAACAGCTTGTTGTTTCAGATACCATATATATATTTTTCAGTAGAGATAGTCTGTGACTTACAACAGTTCATTTAGGGATCGTTCAAAATTACAATGGGACTGAGAAAAGTGACTTATGACAATTTTTCACAGTTACAAACTTTGCAGCATTCCCATGATCATGTGATCATAATTCAGATGCTTGGCAACTGGTTCATACGTAAGACTGTTGCTGTGTCCCAAGGTCATGTGATCACTTTTTGCAACCTTCTGACCAGCAAAGTCAATAGGAAAACCAGATTTACTTTACAACTGAGTTACTAGCTTAACAGCTGCAGTGATTCACTTAATAACTGTGACAAGGCAGTTCATAAAATGGGGCAAAACTCACTTAACAAATGTCTCACTTAACAAGAGAAATTTTGGGTTCAATTGTGGCCATAAGTTTAGGACTACCTGTACATGTTGTGTGTTGAACGTGTTTAAATTTGCTTGTGGAGAATTGGAGTAACATAGTGTGGCCCTGGATGTTCCTATGCCAATCTGGTTTTGGAGAAAACCATTATGAAAATGCTATTGATACCCAGCTGAACAAAATAAGTCTGATATTTTACAATAAATTAAAACTTAGAAGGTCATCATATCCCATCATTTAACAACAACTAAGTTTGCTTTTTCCTTAGATCTAGATAACAGTACAAGACTATTGGCAGTGAAGCCCTTCTTGTTAAAGTTTAAAAGAGCGTTTGTTTTTACTCAGGACATCTAGAGGTTTTCAGAGTTGTTTAAATGGGATGTAATAATTTTAGCTGGTTACATAAAAACAATTGATTGATTTCAGATTGATATGTGCATGTCTGTCATCAAGTTAGTCGGGATCTCTGGCAAATACATAGACGAGTCCATGCAGGTTTTTTTACAGTGTTTTCAGAGGTGGTTTGCCACTACCTTTAAACTAATTACAAGCATCAATTTTATAACCTAATAAAGAAATAAAATAAACTATCAGTTGGATTTACCCCCACTAATTTTGACTAGATACTGAAGAAAAATAATTCCTTTCTTGAACAAGATAGCATTCATTTATCTGCATTGGAATGATTTCCCCAGACTAAACGAAAACACACACAAAAACACAAAAAACTAAGATGTACTTTACCTTGGATTCCAAGTAAATATTTGCTAAGGTCATTTTGGAAATCTTGTAGAGACAAACGGAGAGTGAGATGGCACAGAGTACAAATAAAGTGTCATTTATAGCAACCCTGACCAATACAATTATCCTCCTTTCTGAATTTTCTAATCTCACAAGCACAGCACACGTTAAATTCACCAGCAGGAAAAGCAGACTGACCACGAAAGACACCAAGTAGAGGGGTAACCTAAGCAAGGAGAGGGAAAATAGCATTAATGTTGCAATTATTAATTTTAGCAAATATTAATATAATACTAAATCAGTCTTCCCCAAATTGGCATCTTCCAGATATGCTGGGATTCCAAGCTGCTTGAAAAGGCTTTGTGTTGCTCATTTTTTTCCAGCAAGGCATAATATGTTCTTTCTTATAAACTAGTTTTATAGCCTTGATTCTGTAACCCAAATTTCTCATCACTGAATTTTCAAGATTACATTGGACTGTATTTTGTCGTTTCTAAAGTGACTAATCATTGCAGCTTGCACAAACCAAGTCACTGTAGCTGAACCTTAACTAAATTTTCTCAGGAAATTATTAAACATTAAATATAATTTTAATTATTAAAAGTAATTAAGCTTTCTTAATTGTGGTGCCTATCATGGAACAGCCTCCCCCCTCTCCCCTCCAAGGTCTGGAAGGCCCAAAGCCTTCTAATCTTCCTGAGGGCTGCAAATACCTGACTCTCCCTGCAGGTACTAGACTAGGATGGTAATGAGCCCAATATAAATATAAGTTTGTTATGGTGCCCAGCTATTGCATTTGGTCTATTTTTAACTTGGTTTGTATTTTGTGTTTTGAGGTCTTATTATGTATTTTATGATAACTGTTGTTAGTTGCCCAGGGTTACACATTTAAAATGGGCAGCTTTGTAAATTCTCTAAATAATTCAATAAAGTAATTATTATTTCTCAGAAATACAATGGACATGTTTTTTTATTTTATTTATTTTAGAAGTAAAATAAATTATGTCCCAATGGTATGCAACTACTTTTTTTTCCTTCATTCATGGTGGAAATATTTTTTTACCTGTATTTAAGTAATTCTGGTGAATATTTAGATTTAGCTTTGAAAATCACCTGTAAGAAAATGAGACTGTGTTATTAAACATGCAATGCATAGTAGAGCTGGCACTCTCTTGTACTGTTGAGTTCATTATATTTCAGGTGGATGACTTAGCCACATACGTAGCATTGTGCAGCTCCTACGCTCTTGCTTTCAGATTTGCAAACAGCCAATTTTCTATGCAGCAGCAAAATTTTATTCATCAGTGTGTTTACAGGAAATATAAATCTTATCCTAGGACCTAGACAAATAAAAAAGAATAAGTTTGTAGGAACTGCTTGGATTCAGACATTTAATTTCTAGGTATTTTTGCCACTTATCTTCCTCTGGAGTGCTTTTCAACTTTCTAGCCCAGCCCACAGCCCTGGGATTGCTTTATGATCTCTCAGACCAGATGCTGTCCCATGGTGAGATCAGAGAAATTGTCAATAGGGCAAATGAGGCTTATGCATGTCAGAAAAGTACCAATGCTTGCTTTCATGATTTCATGATTGTCATTAACCCTTCCTGACTACTGCCTGTGACTCCCCTATCTCTAGCTTTTTGCTTGAAGATTGTTTTTTATTTGAGGAGATTCTGTTAGTCACAGGCAGATGGGTACTCTGTTGCTCAGCTCTTTTTAAACAAAGGAAATATTTCACTCTGCTTTCCTTAAAAAAAAACCCTCAAAGGCATAATAATCTTTTTTCAGAGTTGTATTATATAACATAGCAAAAGTAGGAGCAGGGCATATTCATATAGACCACATATACAACTTTGGTAGTACAAGAAGTAAAGTAATGCTATAATATTTATTTCCCATGTTTAATTTATTCTCAGAAATTGCAGTTTCCCTTCCTTTTATCTCTGTAGTACAAGCTTCCTCAAACTAGTCTCACTTCAGATTTGTAGCTTTCAGCTATTAGAATTCTCAATGATTGAGGAAGTTTTGGAGTTAAAGTCTACATATCTTAAGGCTTCTTAGATCTATCATGTATTTCAGAAGAAAACAAACAATCATTAATCATGCTTAATAAGAACATTCAGACTGTTATATCTTTGGAGAGGGAAAACACTTTTTCTCAAAATTTTCCTTCACTATCCTTGAATGCCCCCCAGTTAGTAAAAGAACACATGCCCAGGAGAGTGGCATCTTGGAAGTGGTAAATGGATTATTTGGACCCCACTTCCTCCCCATACCCACTTTCTCCTTTCCTTTCCATCTGATTAATTGGATTCTAACTGAATTTTAATTTTAAATGTGTGGTTCTTATTCTTTTTAAAGTTTTATATCAGCAGCCCCCAACCTTTTGGCCACCAGGAACTGGTTCCGTGGAAAAAGTTTTTTCCATGGACTGGAGGCGGCATGATTTGTGTGCTACCTGCATCCTGTGGAGGAGGCTTCATTTGTTGGCACAGCCCGGCTGCTAGCATGCCCTGAACTGATGCCGGTCCATGGACAAGGAGTTGGAGACCTCTGTTTTATATAGTATTTTAATTGTATGACTATAAGCTGCCTAGGGTAGCCTCAGTGAAAAGTTTAATAATAAATACATAAAAATAAATAAAAGAATTCCAAGTTCACAACTTACTAAGAATCAAAGAGAAGTCACAAGTGGTCAGTTCCTTTTTAATATTAAATGATGGGTGATTATATATTAGGCTAGTCTTTACAATCAGTTGGCTTGGCTTGGAGTGTTCCGATCCACTTTTATTGCATGTGTGCTCTTCCCAAACTATCTCCATTATACTATTTTCCCTGAATATCCCCTTCCCTTCCCCAGCTGGATGGTTGGTTGGATGGTTCTTTGAGGAAATTATATTTTCTATAGCTACCATGCACAACTGATTGTTGAACACATCTATCCTGGCAACATTTTCAGAAACAGTTTGAAGATGAGCCATGATTGTCTTCACTTCTTTTGATGGGTGGCTGAGAATAAGAAGGAAATATCTCCTCTCAGCCCTACTGCAAGCTTTGTAGTAACAAGAATCCCCACCCTCTCACTCCACATCTCCAAAGCTGATACTGTAGTGTTGTAGAGGAAGCAAACTGAAATGACAGTAATTGGGGCTACAGTTACTGTACTATACAGTCCTATAAGACTTCAAATAACTTATCTTCCTTCATTCACAATGCACACGTTTCATAACGGAGTATATTATTCCTTGCCATATGCCGAAGAAACAGCAATTCCTTTTCCTTTAAATACCACCATCATATGTGTATCTCACAAATCTAAGGCAGCCTAGCTAACTTAATTTACCAGAAACTTCAGCCTTGGGGATATGTTAGCAACTTTCTCCTCCTCAAAATCTACCTGAAAACTAAGAAACATTCACCAAGCAGAGGTATTTCTAGATATGGATGAACAAATTTAAAGGTGGCCATTCAACCTGGCCTGACAATCTATAGGGGATCTGATTTTCCAGGAGATTCCTTTAGTATCAGTTTAGTCTAAGAGTGAGTCATGGGAAAAGTCAGTTTGAGATGGGGTGTATAGTCATGTAGATTTTGGTCTAACTATGTGTATAATTCTTTGTCTAGAGATAGAGCCTAGCAATAGTAGGAAGGCTGAGTCATTAAATAATATTACTGGATTTGATAAACATCGCTCACAATCATGGAAAAAACATTTGTTTCAAATGAAAGACCCTTGGAGAAGGGACTAGCATATTCTGCATCTCTCTCTAAATACATTCTGTTCCATTTCCTCCTAATCTTTTCCTAATGTATCATATGTTCCAATTCAGTAATCATACTGTCCAATGTTTTTTGTTATCCTCTAAATCTCCATTTGTTTCTACTAATCTAAAAATGGAGAATAAACTAGAATGAGGAACTCCCAACTTTACATAGCAAACTCCTTGTCTTCAAAAGCAGCACACAAAATACATATGCTTGATGAAAGTTGTAGTCCAGCACGGCTAGAGATAATGCCATGGCGAGTGCTTCTATATAGATAGTCCTCGACTTACTACCACAACTGAGCCCAACATTTCTGTTGTTAAGTGAGATATTTGTTAAGTGAGATTTGCCCCATTTTATGACCTTTCTTGCCACAGTTCTTATGTGAACCACTGCAGTTGTTAAGTGAATCGGGCTTCCTCACTGACTTTGCTTGTCAGAAAGTCACAAAAGGGAATCACATGACCCCAGGACACTGCAATGGTCATAAGTATGAGTCAGTTGCCAAATGTTTGAATTTTGATCACATAACCATGGTGATGCTGCAATGGTCATAAGTGTGAAAATGGTCATAAGTCACTTTTTTTCAGTACTGTTGTAACTTTGAACTGTCACTAAACAAACTATTGTAAGTTGAGGACTACCTGTACTTTATGATCCAATTTCTATATGCTGTAGTCAAGCAAGAAAAAAAAATAACCAAACATAGTTATATATACCCAGCAAATGCATAGGAATAGGATTCTTAGCCTTGAGATGCCAGGGCATGAATGGCATACATCGGAGTTAAATGAAAGACATGGTGTATAACCCAGCACCAATTATTATTATTTTTGGCTGAACATATCATGTTCAGATCAAGCTTAATTGGTTTTATCTGGATGCTTTAAAGATAAGGATAAAAATGCAGAACATTCATGTACAAACATATACAGAACTGAGGGCTTTGATAAAAAGGAATTCATTTAAAGATGGAAACCTCCTCAAATTAATCTTGACTGATGGACGCATTCATGCAATTTTCCTGGCAATAATCCAGAAGTGAGTTGCCATTGCTTTTTTCCAGGATGTTTTTTCAATTTCTCATTCTGGCCTACAGCCCTGGTATTCCCTGTTGATCTCCTAGCCAAGTACAGATAGTCGTTGACTTAGGAGCATAATTGACCCTGGAATTATGGTCATAAGTTATTGCAGTTATAAGTTGAGGCGTCATGTGGCCAGAGGTGATTTTTCAACATTTTTTGCAGTGGTCATTAAATGAATGTGATTGTTAAACAAATCCATTTTCCTCAATAGGTGTGTGTGTGTGGGGGGGGGTGTTGTTGGAATATGGAAGTAAACACCAGAAACCAGCAAAAACATTCTGGTCACATGACCACATGATGCTGCAGACAGCCATAAAAGTGAGTGGTTTGCCAAGCACCCAAAATGCAATCATATGATGAGTGTGTGTGGTCTAAATTTGAAAATGCATTGTAAATAGCTCTAGACAGGTCCGCTGTAACTTTGAATGCTCATTAAGTGATTGATCACAAATTGAGGACTACCTGTATTAATGAGGTTTGACCGTGATTAATTTTCCAGTTCGGAAACATGGTAAGAAATTTTCATAGATGATAGAGGAAGTGTTTTCACCCTTCACTTTTAATTAGACTGTATACAGTGTAGACAGATCTCTTATTTTCATCAATGCCAAGTTAATTCTGGGATACTTTGGTTTGGTAGACCGTCCTAACCCACTGGTATCTAATGGAATCCTGATTGGAACTCTTTCATGGTTTAGAGCCTTAAAGTTCTCAAAACTTAGAATAATTAAATCTTAGTAAAATCTGTCCATGAGAACCAGTCTGATACTGTGGTTAAGGCACCAGCCTAGAAATCAGGAGACTGTGAATTCAACTCCTGCCTTAAGCATAAAGCCAGCTGGATGATCTTAGGCCAGTCACTCTCTCTCAGCTTTAGGAAGCAGTCAATGCCAAACTACCAGTATTTCCAAAATCTTCCTTAGAAAACTGCAGGGATTCATCCAGACATCCTTGACACCAAGAGTCAAGATTGACCCAAAGGGACAAAAAAAGGACAAAAGAACAGAGACAGTACAATGCATGCCACTAAATCTGTAGTAGACTGGATAACATAATCCTGGTATAGGTGGAAAAACATGTAAGCTAAATTCTATTCCTAAAGTAGAATAGAGATAGTTATGAATACGGAAGTGAGCTGAGCCAATGTTTTGAAAACAGGTTTATGCTTCCTCAGTATTTTGTTGGGGAGGGACTTTATTTATTGAATTTATTTATTTGTTGAATTTATTTAAAATACAGTGCTTATGATTCAGAGTAGAGCTAATTATGTGTAATACACACAGGATTTTTCAATATATGGTCCACTTTGTCAGTCAGTTTTGTCTGTTTGTCTGAAATGGTATATAGAATCTCCTGCTTGAGCAAGAGGGTGGGACTAGAAGACCTCCAAGGTTCCTTTCTTCTATTATTCTGTTAATCTGTTGTTATGAGAAAAGAGTAGGATTCAAAAAGAATACAATTCAACCTTCCACTACTTTTTTTCCTACAACTTCTTCCTCCTAAGCTCTGCCCGTCATGGCTCAAAATCTAAAAATAAACCCAGCTAAAATAAATAGTCATAAAGGCAGAGATTGCAAGAAAAAGTTGAAAGGCAACAACATATTAAAGCCTTTCTTCTTTCATTTCTTCCTTCCACACATCCATTATTTTTGTCTCAACGGATTGTAGCACTTTACCAACCTTGTCTGGACATGGAGGCTAAGCAGGGTCGGCCCTAGTTAGTATTGGAAGGGGAAATTATCAGGACAGCCCAAAAACTGTAGGCTAGAATGGGAAGTTGAAAAGTGCTGTGAAAGAATGAAATGGCAAATCATTTCCAATATCATTTCCAAGAAAAGTACATAGATGAGTCCAGTGCTTTTTTTGTAAAAAAAAAAAAAAAAAAGGTGCCGGAACTCACATATGTCACACAACCCGCCTTGCCTACCCTACAAGGTTCCATCCAAAAAAGGTGCCGGAACTCCGTTCTGGGCATTCTATGAGAAAAAAAGCCCTGGATGTGTCCATAAAGTCACAGGAGTCAAGCATGACTAATATTCCAACGCCTTTTAAACTTGTATAAGAATTATGGGACTTGAAATCCAACACATCAGGAGCATCACATTGGAAAAGTCCCTCATAACAGATTGAAAGACTGCCAGTTAACTATTGATTAATTATTTATCTTTCTTGGCATAATTTCAGTGATTCTTTTAAAGCATTTCTTCTGCCATGTTAATGAACAGTGTGTGTATAGAGGGAGTTCTTAGCAGTTTTCCAAGCATTTCCTAAGTTTTGTTAACATTTAGCAACTTGTTCACACCAAACAGACTGGATTTAAGGCACAGTGAGGCAGAACCTGTCTTTTTATTTGGAAAAATGTTGTCTCTGGATTGAGAGTGTGTTCCTTACTTCCCTTTTATACTTGTCCATGCATGCCTGATGTGACAATGTAGATGTAATATTTAAAGGGGTACTCTGTGGCAACATGCAGACTTACAAGCCAAACTTGTCATCTGATTATCTGATTCTCTTTGACTATAGTAAGTAGAATGCAATTTTAAACATGTTTACCTTGAATCACAATTTTAAATATGCTTCTCTGAATCAATTCCCATTATATTTAGTGGTAATTATTTCCAGTGAAGTAAAAATGCAAGAACAGCAGTTTGTGAATGACTTAGTACTATAGATTTTGACATTATTCTATCTAAATGCTTGTTACTTATTCATTAAACAGCAATCAAACTATTTGTTAGTGCAATGTGTGAACCTGGCTATATTCTTTCAATTTAGCCTCTTTCTAACAACGAAAATGTGCCAAAACGTAATTGGTTGCTGTGTAATACTTTTGCAAGTCCCTGTTTTTAGTACCATAGTAATAAAACTTTATCTTATTTGCATGTAATGGAAGACTGATATATCTATGAATATTAAGGCACTTTTAATGAGTGATTCTGATCCAACTTCACAATCACAATAAAAGGTATAAATCATTATAATATGAAACACTGAAGCTAAACTTCAATCAACCTATTTATCTGAAGAAACAACATTGAGATCAATGGGACCCCTCCCTACTTCCTACTTTAAAATAATGTTCTGCTTAACTTCTTTAAAATTTCAGTAATGCTAACTTTTTCTTGCTCCTGTTTCTATAAAAAGAAGAATCTCAGTAAAGCCTACTTATTACTAAAGACTAAATTTAGCATTGATATTCCTTAGCATTTATTTAATGTATTTCAAACATTAAAAGGGTATAATATACATTTCTTTCAAAAACTCTTTTAATTATTCACACAACACTGCAAAACAGGGTTGCTGCCTCTCTGAGCATGTTGTTAATTGAAGGATCCTTAAGAATAGTTTGAGGCTTCCTATATCCATGATCTCATTTTAAAATTTTGCACCAGTGTTCAAGGAAAGACTTACTTTGCATGTAAAATCATCAGTCTTCACTTAACAACAAGAAAATAAAATTAAAGACACCACTACATAATGCTCCATTTGTGAACTATGTAATTTTTGGTGAGGAGAAAGAGGAAGGAGTTATTCCTGATGGAAATCTTGGGTTTATCATATTTTTTCTCTCCCTCCTCTTAAGAGCAACTGAGATCCAGATTCTCTGCTATATTATATTGTGAAACCTTGTAAAATCAGCTGGTCTGTCCAATTGGCTGAGTAAGAAGTTTTTTTTGTTGTTACCGTCTCTGTCTACAAATTGGAGCTCCTCCTCCAAATGTCCACTTTTAAGGGGCCGGTAGCCCCGCAGCTTCAGTTAATGGCGGTTCTACTAGCTGTTAGCATATGAGCCTGCCTTACACTTCTTAACGAACAATCTTAAAGGGCGATCTCTTGCCGTAGCACCGCGCCAGTCCGGCCACGATCCCAGCGCCCCGAGCGCAGGAACGGCCGTCCATCCCTCCCTCCCTTACCTGGGTGAAGTAAAGGTTCATAAGCGTCAGGGTGAAAAACTGGAGGCACACCGGGAAGCAATAGAGGAGCCAAAAGGCGAAGGGGCTGAGGGAATTGGCGGCGACAAAGTCCTTGAAATAAAAAGAGAAGAGCACCGTCCGAAGAGAAGCCCAGAGCAGGCACAGAAATAAAAAGACCGTCTGATAGCTAAACCTCTTGTGCCGGTAGTGCAGGACCAGCCAGAGCTGGATGTAAATGAACAGGAAGAGGAGCGAATAAAAGACGGTGTAGGCAACGGTGAGACCCAGCTTCACGAACGGCGGCACAGCCGGGCTCAGAGTAGGCAGGAGGCTGCCGTTCCTCAGCGCGTCCCATTCCAGGGCTTCCATCGGCGCCCGGGATCCGGACGGGCAGAGCTTGCCCTTAACTTTGCCGACTGGGGCTCCTGTTGTTGTTGCTGCCGCCGCCGCCGCCGCCGCCGCCGCCTTTCATCTTCGTCAGGAGAGGAACCGAGCAAACGAAAACAACCCGCACTTCCTCTTTGGCAGCGCACTGGTGGCTGGAAGCACATGATCTCGGGACAGAGGGATTCATTGGAGCGTCCACCGTCAGCAGTTGGCCAGGAGCAGCGCGGAGAGAGCCACTGTTTGGGAAGCCCCCTTCAGCGGCTCTCGGGCAAGGAAGGGTGTCCTCTCTTTGGCGGCTCCCCGGTTTTCAGCACAGCTTTGTTCTTGAGCAAAGGGCCTCCTGAGCGAGATCTTTCAGCACATTCCAACGCAGTCCAAGATGCCACACTATCTTTTAATTTGGCAGCCTTCTTGTGCATCTCATTACATCTTCCTCCTCCTCAATTGTGTTTTCTTTTTCTCCTGGGAATGCTCACTGTTCTGAAGGGGGAAATGGATGACTTGTCTTGTTCATGTTCAATTTCCACCTGAGGAAATGGAAAGCCTCGATTGAATAATTTCACTGTACTTGGAGGGCCCGTTAGTTGAAGAAAAGAATGTTTTTCAAGTAAAAATACTACGTTGAACATTATAATTGCACGTATTCTCAGTCTGCCAATCCTTGACTATGATATATTTTTAGCTAATTAATTTGCAGGGTCCTGTCAATTTGTCTTCATTAATTGCACTAATGCATTTGTCCCTAACAGATTGGGTGTTGGAGAAGCCTGGAAGACAAAACAATTTTCTATCTTCAAAATCCTGTATTAAACCCAATCAGATCCTCAAGGAAGAATCTGTTCTTTGTCAGAACTGCCAGGAACATCATTGTAGAGATTTCACTCGTGTTATGACAAACCTGGAGGTTATGTTGTATTTGTCAATTGGATATGGGGGAAATATAGAATAAAAGTCTGCCAATGAGATCAATCCTGGAGAATCTCCTGAGAACGAATGTGGTTGTTCTACAGGAAAAAAATCCATCAAACTGAGGATGAAAGTATGCTCCCTTCAATTCCATACCTTGGGTGCTAAAGCAGGAGGGATTTTAAAGATAACAAAACAATTGTAGGTCAGAGACTTTGCCAAACAAGAATGGAAAGAAATACCTATAATTAGGGCCAGGTTATCAAAGATAAAAATGAGTATATTAACTTTAAGTAGATTCGCAACTCCTCCTTTTATATTATCTTCCTTTAGTGATAGAATTTTGTTTGATATAGGAGATCTCTGAAAGAAATCTAGTTTTTATAAATATGTTTACTTATAAACAAGAAATAAAAAAGCAAAAATAAACTCATTAATTTTTTAAAAAGATTAAGAACCAGTGGGTGAAATTTTAGTGGCAGTGGATTAATTAGCATATTTGAGGAAATCCAAAAGTAAGTTTCAAATTGTCCTACTCACATAGTTTCTGAATAGATAAGATAGCGGTGAGAATGCAATTGTCACAAGAGTCTGAAAAAAATATTTGTTTTGGCTGTTGGAATTCAAATTACTTTTAATCTGATTTATTGCAGAATATTAAGGTATGTTCCAAGGTGCATAAAAGCAAACAATACTTTACTAAAGTATATCAAATGGCCTAATAAATATAAGTCAGAATAACAAAACAACAAACCAATGAAGCTTGCCTAACAGTTTATAATGCTTGGACAAATAAGGAAATTCTCACTTTTTTTAAAAAAATTATTCATATAGCTACCATCTCAAGAGTGACTCTGGATGGTGTACAATAAAACTATAAATATAAAACAGTAATATATTAATAAATATTAATATATATATTTCAGAAAATTTTAAAAATCATGATTAAAGGCTAATTGAGGACAGCAGATGTCAACAATAATGGAGCTACCTCAGTGCCTGACTGGCCCCTGGTCTCTCCAGGCCTGATGGCATACCGATTTTGATGGACTTTGAAAAGTCAATAGGGATGGAAACAGTCTCACTACGGGGGGGGGGGCAATGATACTCTATAAAGTGGGCATCACGGCAGAAAAGGCATGCCTTCTGGGTGGAATGCAGTCAGGATTCTGTTCTCTGAGCAGGAGTCACAAATCCAGGACACCACCACACACACACGTTATGCGCTGGGTCTGTTTGAGATAGTGAAACCCCATTCAGCACCAAAGATGTTAAAGTCCCAAATCTGGAAGGCCCTAAAACCCAAAAGTAAGTAAGTAATTCAGTGGCTAATATACTAGACTGGATGAGGAAGGCCCAGATTTAAGTCTTCCATTCAACCAGAAGGTCAGAGAATGAGCCTGAAACAATTTCTTTGATCAATCTTTTTCTTTGGGTTGTTATGTGGATAAAATGAGATAACAACTCTCCCCCATGTATGTTTATAAAAGAAAGCTGGTGTAAAAATAAAGGTTCTACTGTAATAGGTGACTTGCCATGTCCAACAGTATATATATGTGCAATAAATAGTCCATCTTTGAGTCACTTCAGCAAAATGCCACTTCTGGTGGCATCAAAAGACATCAAAATACAAACCACTTCACAAACACATGACACAACATAGGAGAACAAACCCATCAGGACAAGATTCAGCAGCCCATCTGCATTCGAAAGACAAATGTCATTATTTTGAAGACAGCAAAGTCCACATTCAGGACAGAGGACCACTGGTTTAAAAGAAGATCAAAGAGGCCATCTACTTAAGAATGGAGAGCCCTCTATCAACAGAGGGGTAGGGATGCAACAGCATCCATCTCCTGTTTACTACACAGTCCATTTGCACTATTCAAGTGACCCTGAGGGCACAGATAAACCTCCAAATAGCCTCAAGGACTCTCAGAAAAAGTGCTAACAACCAGATGACTGCAAGGAATATAAATCCTTCCATCTTCCTCTGTTCAGTGAGAACTGAAGAAGCTCCTTGGATGAGAAGCAAAATGTCTTCAAGGAAAAATAAAGTCCTGTTGTCTTTTGAAAAAGCACCTTTGGGACAACCATGACCTGGATGACTAAGAACTTCCATGGGCAAAATACAAGCCACCTATTAGATCCCTTAGCTTGCTGTTAAAAACCTAGGCAGATAATAGTAAAAGGATAAAGAAGAAAGCCCCTTTATGGATTACTGCCTTGTCGTGGCGAAGGGGCTTGCGTAACTCAATGAAGCTATAAGCTATGCCATGCAGGGCCACCCAAGACAGACAGGTTATAGCAGAGAGTTCTGACAAAATGTGATCCACTGGAGAAGGAAATGGCAAACCACTCCAGTATCTTTGCCATGAAAACCCCATGAACAGTACTAAAAGGAAAAAAGATATGACGCTGGAAGATGAGCCCCTCAGGTCGGAAGGTGTCCAATATGCTACTGGGGAAGAGCAGAGGGCTAGTACTAGTAGCGCCAGAAAGAATGAAGCGACTGGGCCAAAGCCGAAAGGACGCTCAGCTGTGGATATATCTGGTGGTGAAAGGAAAGTCCGATGCTGTAAAGATTTTTTCTCCATAGGAACCTGGAATGTAAGATCCATGAATCAAGGCAAGCTAGACGTAGTCAAAAAAGAGATGACAAGAATGAACATCGACATCTTAGGAATCAGCGAACTAAAATGGACAGGAATGGGTGAATTTAACTCAGATGACCATCAGGTGTACTACTGTGGGCAAGAATCCCTCAGAAGAAATGGAGTAGCCTTCATAGTCAATAAAAGAATAGGAAAAGCAATACTGGGATACAATCCCCAAAATGACAGAATGATTTCAATTCGAATCCAAGGCAAACCATTCAATATCACAGTAGTCCAAATCTATGCCCCAACCACTGGTGCTGAAGAGGATGAAATTGACCAGTTCTATGAAGCCCTACAGCACCTTATAGAATTAACACCAAAAAATGATGTCCTTATCATCATGGGGGATTGGAATGCTAAGGTAGGAAGCCAAAAGATAACCGGAATAACAGGCAAGTTTGGCCTTGGAGTACAAAATGAAGCAGGGCACAGGCTAATAGAATTTTGTCAAGAGAATACGATGGTCATAACAAACACTCTTTTCCAACAACCCAAGAGACGGCTCTACACATGGACATCACCAGACGGTCAACATAGAAATCAGATTGACTATGTGCTCTGCAGCCAAAGATGGAGAAGCTCTATACAGTCAGTAAAAACAAGACCAGGAGCTGACTATGGCTCAGATCATGAGCTTCTCGTTGCAAAATTTAGGCTTAAATTGAAAAAAGTAGGGAAAAGCACTAGGCCACTCAGGTATGAACTAAATCATATTCCTGATGAATATACAGTAGAGGTGACAAATAGATTTAAGGAACTGGATCTGATAGACAGAATGCCTGAAGAACTATGGATGGAAGTTCGCAACATTGTACAAGAGGTAGCAACTAAAACCATCCCAAAGAAAAAGAAATGCAAGAAAGCAAAATGGCTGTCTGAGGAAGCTTTGCAAATAGCTGAGGAAAGAAGGGAAGCGAAAGGCAAAGGAGAAAGAGAAAGATACACCCAATTGAATGCAGAATTCCAGAGAGTAGCTAGAAGAGATAAGAATGCCTTCTTAAATGAACAGTGCAAAGAAATAGAAGAAAACAACAGAATAGGGAGGACCAGAGATCTCTTCAAGAAAATTGGAGATATGAAGGGAACGTTTCATGCAAAGATGGGCATGATAAAGGACCAAAATGGCAGAGACCTAACAGAGGCAGAAGAGATTAAGAAGAGATGGCAAAACTACACAGAAGAACTATACAAGAATGAGCTTAACATCCCAGATAACCACAATGAGATGGTCACTGACCTCGAACCAGACATCCTAGAATGTGAAGTGAAATGGGCCTTAGAAAATCTGAGCAACAACAAAGCTAGTGGAGGTGACAGTATTCCAGCTGAGCTATTCAAAATCTTAAAAGACGATGCAGTAAAAGTGCTACACTCAATTTGCCAGCAAATTTGGAAAACTCAACAGTGGCCACAGGATTGGAAAAGGTCAGTTTACATTCCAATTCCAAAGAAAGGCAATGCCAAAGAATGTTCAAACTATCGCACCATTGCACTCATTTCACATGCTAGTAAAGTTATGCTTAAAATCCTACAAGCTAGACTCCAGCAGTATGTGGATCGAGAACTACCAGAAGTACAGGCAGGATTTCGAAGAGGCAGAGGAACTAGAGATCAAATTGCCAACATACGCTGGATCATGGAGAAAGCTAGGGAGTTCCAGAAAAACATCTACTTCTGCTTCATTGACTATGCAAAAGCCTTTGATTGTGTGGATCACAACAAATTGTGGCAAGTTCTTAAAGAGATGGGAGTACCAGACCATCTCATTTGTCTCTTGAGAAACCTATATGCGGGTCAAGAAGCAACAGTGAGAACCGAACACGGAACCACTGATTGGTTCAAAATTGGAAAAGGAGTCCGGCAAGGCTGTATACTGTCGCCCTGCCTATTTAACTTATATGCAGAGCACATCATGAGAAAGGCAGGGCTAGATGAATCAAAAGTTGGAATTAAGATTGCCGGGAGAAATATCAACAACCTAAGATATGCAGATGATACCACTCTAATGGCAGAAAGTGAAGAGGAACTAAAGAGCCTCTTGATGCGGGTGAAGAAGGAGAGTGCAAAAGTTGGCTTGAAACTCAACATTAAGAAAACCAAAATCATGGCATCCGGCCCTCTCAATTCCTGGCAAATAGATGGGGAAGAAATGGAGGTAGTGACAGATTTTATTTTTCTGGGCTCCAAGATCACCTCAGATGGGGACTGCAGCCAAGAAATTAAAAGACGCTTGCTCCTGGGGAGGAAAGCTATGGCAAATCTAGACAGCATACTAAAAAGCAGAGACATCACCCTGCCAACAAAAGTGCGCATAGTCCAGGCCATGATTTTCCCAGTTGCAATGTATGGCTGTGAAAGTTGGACCATAAGAAAGGCTGAGCGCAAAAGAATTGAGGCCTTTGAACTGTGGTGCTGGAGAAGACTCCTGCGAGTCCCTTGGACTGCAAAGGCGTTCAAACCGGTCGGTCCTAGAAGAGATCAACCCCGACTGCTCTTTAGAAGGCCAGATCCTGAAGTTGAAACTCAAGTACTTTGGCCACCTAATGAGAAGGAAGGATTCACTGGAGAAGAGCCTAATGCTGGGAAAGATTGAGGGCAATAGAAGAAGGGGACGACAGAGAATGAGATGGCTGGATGGAGTCACTGAAGCAGTAGGTGTGAATTTAAATGGACTCCAGAAGATGGTAGAGGACAGGAAGACCTGGAGGAATGTTGTCCATGGGGTCGCGATGGGTCGGACACGACTTCGCAATTAACAACAACAACAACAACAACAACAAAGAAGAAAGACTAAAATATACCAGTGAATGTCTGAGCTATCTATACTTTACACCCAAATAACTAAAACTAGAACAGATAATATAGTGTGGACCTTCACACAGATTGCAGAATAGCAGTGATTTCACCCTTAAAGTATTTTGGAAGATTGTTACAACAGACCTCAGAGAGACCCAGCTTTTTCTATTATAATCCAACTGTAAAATTCTGGATGTATCAAATATTTTATTCTTACATAACATAAGAAGTCCAAGATATCTCATTTTTCTTTTGTTACTTAAACTAAGCCATGGTTTGTTTAACTATAGTTTGTTAATTTAACTACAACTGGCTAGGGTCACACAATACTGTATGCTGTTATATGTTCATGTACCAGGAGTACGAATCATATGTTGCATTAGTGAAATATGTGAATGTTAATTAGCAACAAAAAAAAAACACTTTTACTGGCCAAGAATCCTTGTGACTAAAATGGCTGCTTCTTATTTTTGGATCAATTTTTTTTAATCTAATATACAACTTCGTGTGATATCTCTTATGCAATATATTAGTTGGGTTCTTTTCAGTTTGGGAGGACTATAAATTTGGAG